AAACGAAAAGATTGAATTATTGTTTTCACGCGCGGCACGTATTTTTCGACAAGCGAAAATTTAACCGAAAAAAAAAAAAAAAAAAAAAAAAGAAAAATATGAACGACCGACGAATAAAAAAAGAAGGGTGAGGGAGAAAAAAAAAAGAAAAGAGAGAAACAGAATCTGCAGTGTTAGCGCTGTAGAAGTTTTCACGATTATTAGCTGTTTCCGTTTAAATGACGTCGATCAGTTGCGGTCGCAAGATCTTTCGAAACTTTGAAACTGATCTGTAGGAAGTTTAATAAGATTTTCGTGAAGGCATAAGGATGTCGGCGATTTTCCAGCGAATCGCGAGATCAGTTCCGCTAAAATCGTACAAGGAGAGAGAGACAAGCGGATCTAAAAAAAAAAAAAAAACAATCGGGATGTATCACGAACCATCGAATGTCCCGCGAAATTCTATCGTCGTAACAATTATAATACTAGTGAATCACGGAGAATTTCTCTTCTTCTTTTTGAAGAACCAGCTCCTTCGTCTATGATTTTTCTTTTTCTTTCTTTCTTTCTTCTTTTTCTTTTTTTGTTCTTTTTCGTTCCTTCGACGTAGACAAGATAGAACAACGAGGATAATAATAATATTAATGAAAGGTGAAAAAAAAAGAGAAAAAAACGATTAAAAAACGATTATCAACGAACGATTACATCGCCGTCGTTTCTCGTCCCGCGGTTTCTCACCCTTCTGCACGTTCTTTTTCTTTTTGTTTTTCCTTTTTTTTTCTTTTTTTTTTTTTTCGCTAACCTATTTTTGTAAACGCGATATAAGTAGATCTCTAATAATTTAATGAGTCGATTAACGCCGAGTGACGCCTGACGACACGATCACTTCATTCATTCACTCGCTTCTTTCGCCTCTTTTCTTTTTCTTTGAACTCTCTCTCTCTCGTCTTCCACCCGTTTTTTCCCTTTTTTCTTCTCCCTTCTTTCCCCTCTTGCTCTTCCTCCCCTTCGGTTCTCTTCTCCTTTCCACCTTTAGTACTGATATCAGAGTATCGATAATTGCAGATCTCAATATAATTATTAATATACCATCCTAAAATACGGTCAAATCACTGCCGCGAGCAGCAATTCCGAGGCACTACAAACAGGCCACAGAGAATATGGCCGCACAATTATTCATCTTCAGATCATCTCTGTGTCTAAATGATAAAAGACTAACTGTAGAACGCCTAATATACGTATAATCGTAATCATATACTTATGCATCTCGTCATCTATAGGTATAGATCATTATAATATATATATATATAATATATATAATATATATATATATAATGTACAATAATTAGAGAGATCACACGTCTTAATATAGAAATTTAAAAGACTATTCTCTAGTACGTTGAAATTTCCTTAATATTTTGTGTGTGTTCTTTTTTTTTTTTTCTTTTTCTCGTGTTCGTGTATGTATCCCTTTCTTCGTTTCGTATCGTTTTCCTTTTGTAAGTATTGCCACGAAACATTCTTCCTGCTCTACTTCAATTTTTTTTTTTTTTTGTTATCTTTCGTTCGTTTTACCTTTCTGTTCACCGGCAGATGTGATGATAATTGCGTTATTATTATAATAATAATAATTATTATTATTACTAGTAATTATTATTAGTATTATTATTAATATTATTATTATTAAGTTCCGGATGAGCGGACTTCACGAGGGTCCTTCGAAAGTCTTTTTTTTTCCTCTTTTTCCCCCCCCCTCCCCCCACGGCTTTACTCCTCCTTTTCTCTCTCGAGTTCTACTCTATCGACTACCCTACTTACGCTAGTCTACGGTGTCTCAGCCTTCTTCCACGTTCCCTCCTCTTTCGTGATTTTTTTTTTTTCTTGTTTTGCTTTGTGTCGCTTACCTAGTGTTACGTTCAGCACCAATCTGATTTTAAAACCGATTCAAAATATCATCATTATAGTTAATAGAATAATATAACCTGTTGTATAAATATACATTCAAATATTACTATAGTATACAAGAATCGTACCCTCCCCTCGCGCAACTATCGTCATCGTCAACTTGTCGTACCCCGAAAAGCTATGGCTCAGCACTCTGGGGGGATACGCCGTCCTCGTAAATCCTACCTAATCTTCCTTCTTTCCTTTCCATCTTTCACTCTTTTCTCTCTCTCTCTCTCTCTTTCTCGCACACATTTTTGTCTCGCACTCTCCTTTCTCATCCATACTTCTTTCCCTTTTTTCCCCCCTCATATTCGTTCTCCTTCCTTGTTTCCACATCTTCTTCTTCCTCCTTCGTTTCGCCTTTCTTTTTTTTTTTTTTTCTTCACTTCTCCTATCCCTCAGCGATTCTACCCACTCGTTCCACCCTCGATTCTGCTCGTGCATTCGCGACTCTCTCTCTCTCTTTCTCTTTCACCGTTTCTCTCTCTTCTCTGCTCATTCGCACACGGATCCACGCAGCATCCACGCAGCCAAGCACGCACGCTCTCTTGCTCGCTCTTTTTCACGCCATTTCAACATTTTTTTCTTTTTCGTCTCTCTCTTTCCTCCACCACTCGGTTTTGTTTGTTCGTCGGAGTGAACGGCTTTACATATTTACAGGCATTCTTCTCGTGGTCGTGTATTCACCTCCCTCTCGAGGCAACGTATCTTCCTCCCATCACACGTATATCTCTTTCTTTTCCTTCTTCTTCCTTTTCTCTTTCTTTTTATTCATTTTTTTTCTTTTTTTTTTTTGTTGTTTCATTTAAACATAGGCAAGTTAGATATCGTATCACAATTGTTATCAATTTTTGTTTG